GTTCCCATACCATGTGAAACACACTGCACCAAGAGTGGAAGTTGCATACCTGTCATCATACCTGTTGTAGAATGTCATAGAATTTAGGAAGGAAGTTCCCAGCAGCTCTGTGCCAGGTGATGGAGGATTTGTTCTGAACCATTATTAAATTTCCCTCCTCTATGCTATGTTTCCTTTTTCTGTCACAATGAGATGCCAGTGATTGGGATTAAATAATTTGAATTATGTGTCTGGCATTATGCTTCTGCTCTTTGGATATCTCCATTGTTTGGAGATCTGGTACACTTGGTGTCTCTTTCCCTGGTCCTTGATGCTCATCTGCCCATAGCACAGTCTGCTGTCCTTTGGGATGCCCAATCTGCTTGCCAGACCCTCTGCTAGGGTTGCTCAAATCTCTGGTTCAGCAGAAGACTAATCAGCTTCTTGATGGGTTGGTTACTGGGTTGACTGTAGTGATTCCTGTGGAGGTTTTTCAGACTTTTAGGTGTAGCGCGAAGTAAGTAGCAGGAAAGTGGAGCCAGGGAAGTGCAGTAGCCAGAGAAAAGTAAACACATGATTTATATCAACAACGTTATCAGAGCAGTTTATGCAGTAGAACTGTAGTACCACTGAAAAATAACTGAGTATTTTAACAGTGCATTTTGTCTAACATAAAATAATTGAGAGTGCTGTGTTTTAACATACAAATTTAAAATAATTTTTGGAATAGATCTTATAACTTCTTGAAATGTTATTATCTTCCTGTCTTTCAGGCTGAAGGTGGCCCAGTCTGAGGGCTAATCTGTCAAATATTTAATAATCATTTGCTCAGAAAATTTCCCACGTTGTTCATGGTAAGGCTTATATTTGATATTTCACATTCAGTTTGTTGTGCTGACACAGAGTATTTCTTACACATTTTTAGTATTAACGTTTTCTTTAGCTGTAAGAATTACTTAAGAGTTGGATCATACATTTACTGAGAATTGCAGTTTCACAGAGGAGGTTTCCAGTTTTGTATAACTGAATCAATAAATAAAAGTGAGTAATTGTAAAGTGAAAAGGAAAGACGTTTATGTATTTACAATTTTAAAATAAGTTTCAGAGTAATGCTTGTATAACCTAAAAGCTTTTTCTGATCATATTAAGAAAAAAAATTATTTGACAATTTTTTTAGTATGTAAATGGTTTCGTCTGTTGGGATTTTATGACTCAGACTGCTTTATAAAAATTACAAAACTTTCCCTTGTTATTTTACAGGAGTTTTTCATCAGTATGTCTGAAACCATTAAATATAATGACGACGATCACAAAACTGTGTTCCTGAAAACATTGAATGAACAACGTTTGGAAGGAGAATTTTGTGACATAGCTATTGTGGTTGAAGATGTTAAGTTCAGAGCCCATAGGTGTGTGCTTGCTGCCTGCAGTACCTACTTCAAAAAGCTTTTCAAAAAACTGGAAGTTGATAGTTCATCAGTAATAGAAATAGATTTTCTTCGTTCTGATATTTTTGAGGAAGTTCTCAATTACATGTATACTGCAAAGATATCTGTTAAGAAAGAGGATGTAAATTTGATGATGTCTTCAGGCCAGATCCTCGGTATTCGATTTCTCGATAAACTCTGCTCTCAAAAACGTGATGTTTCTAGTCCTGAAGACAACACACAGTCCAAGAGCAAGTACTGTCTAAAAATAAACCGTCCTATGGGAGAACCCAATGATACACAAGATGATGAGGTGGAAGAAATTGGAGATCATGATGATAGTCCATCAGATGTGACAGTGGAAGGAACTCCTCCAAGTCAGGAAGATGGAAAGTCACCAACAACTACCCTGAGAGTGCAAGAGGCAATTCTGAAAGAGTTGGGAAGTGAAGAAGTTCGAAAAGTAAACTGCTATGGCCAAGAAGTAGAGCCTATGGAAACGACTGAATCTAAAGACTTAGGATCTCAGACCCCTCAGGCTTTGACATTTAACGATGGCATAAGTGAAGTGAAAGATGAACAGACACCTGGCTGGACCACGGCAGCTGGGGATATGAAGTTTGAGTACTTACTTTATGGTCACAGGGAACATATTGTATGTCAGGCTTGTGGCAAGACCTTTTCTGACGAAGCGCGATTGAGAAAACATGAAAAGTTACACACTGCTGATAGGCCGTTTGTTTGTGAAATGTGTACAAAGGGCTTTACCACGCAAGCTCATTTGAAAGAGCACTTGAAAATACACACAGGCTACAAACCTTACAGTTGCGAGGTGTGTGGAAAGTCTTTTATTCGCGCACCAGATCTAAAAAAGCATGAAAGAGTTCACAGTAATGAGAGGCCATTTGCATGCCATATGTGTGATAAGGCTTTCAAGCACAAGTCCCATCTCAAGGACCATGAAAGAAGACACCGAGGAGAGAAACCTTTTGTCTGCAGTTCCTGCACTAAAGCATTTGCTAAGGCATCTGACCTAAAAAGGCATGAGAACAATATGCACAGTGAAAGAAAACAAGTTACTACAGCCAATTCCATCCAGAGTGAAACAGAACAGTTACAGGCAGCAGCCATGGCTGCGGAAGCAGAGCAACAATTAGAAACTATAGCTTGTAGTTAAGATCTAAAGCAGAAACTTTATCAGATATAATATAAGAAATGAAAATGAACAAAATCTAGTGTCGATATATGTTTAGACTGAGAATTTTTTCAAGAAATCATATTTTTAAAGAATTGAATGTTACATAGGAATACATAGCATCACTTGGTTAGGTATTTTAAAACATTTCAGAGAGGGGTATTCTTAGAATGTGAAGCAATTTTGTTGCCATTAGCAGTATAGCGCACTAATACCTGCTTTAATTTGAGAGTGTGATCAAGTTCTCTATAAAACAGGGATAATTGCTGGCTGATACTTATTTCATTCAGTATGGAATACTGCATACAACATAACATTGCAATCAGTGAGAATCAATAAGTTTGAAAGTGCTGAAATCTCAAAAATCACAAACATGGAAAGGAAATACTTGGTTTTCATAGTTCTGAAGGTATTATAATTTTTTGAGAAACAGACATTGATTCCCTAAGCTTTTTAATTCCTCCTTTTTCCACTTAATGTAGGTAGGTACAGTAGAGTGTAAGTGGGATGGTGATCAGAATGAAATTGCTTCTTATTCCATTCCCCCAGATACCCTCTTACTTTAATCAAGGTGGCAAGTTTAATGAAATACTTGATTTCTTGAAAAAACTACATTATTCACAGTGATTCTGGCTGGCAAAGCAGCAGCGTCATGGCATTCACCAATCCCTTCAGTGGGTAAAAAAGTCTGCCTCATTTGTTTTTGTGTTCACTCTTATATAGGGCCCTGGAGTTGGGACTGGGCCACAAAGGAAAAAGGGTGCAGCATGGATGAGATGTACTCCTTACTCAAACCCAGTAGAAATCAGTTTAGGCTAATACAGCCTGAGGCTGTGCTTTTTATTATGCAGCTTTCAGTTCACCTAACCTAGCACAGTAAAGGTAAAGGAGTGTTTCTGGGAGCACAGGAGGTTTAGCTGCACTGGTGAGTGACCTGTCACTGCCAGACTCCTGGAGCTGCAGAGCACAGCCACAGGCTGTCACATACCTGCCCATAGTGTTCAGCTGGGGTTTGTGTCATGGCTTGTCTTACCAGCTCATAGGTCCTGTTCAAGTTTAAAAGCTTCCACCACCTCTCAGCAATAGAGACACTTCAGTGAGTGAATTCAGTTGTAATTGATCCAGAGTGAGTGTTCGGTATTAGTCAATTGCTTAGTCTCGCCTATTTTTTTTTTTTAAGATAAGCTGGGGTACATGCTGCTAATTTAATAGTTAACTCACAGAGTCAACAAAATAAGTTGTCTTTGGATTGCAGTCTCCTGTGTGTAGTCAGCAAGAGAAGACACAATAACAGTGGTAATGTAATCCAAAGGGATATTGAGCCTTTATTTTAAATTTGTAAATACTACAACTGTTGTGAAAACTTCATTTGAAGTTGGAATGGGCAAAACCCCACACTCTTGGGCACACTGTAGTAACATTGGTCACTTGTGATACCTATAGCATATGGAAGTGTTAGGTCAGTTTCTGGTAAGTTACTGTGTGGTACATCACATCTTGCTTTTCTAAAAAGAAATTTAGAAAGTGTTTTTGGAACTGTTATATGGAACTTCTATCATTGGAGTTTTTTTTTGTTTGGTTGAGGTTTTTTTTTACAGCTTCGTTTTATTCATGTACTCATCAGGTTAAACAGTTATCTTAAAATGCCAGTAATTGTTTGAACGCTGGTCTGTAAATAAAACATGAACTTAATATTTTAGAAAATGTAAACTTCGGACCTTTACCAATATATTTTTTTAAAATGTTGCTTCATTTTACATTCAGTAATATTAGTTTGTAAACAAACTATACATTTTGTACCTGTGCAACATCAGAGGATGTGTATTCATTGCATTTTATTGGTTCTCTTGAGGAACATGATAAATGACCATTGTTAAAATGTTTTACTGTATATGATCATAGATATAAAGATAGTAGGTCCAAAATAGGATCTACGTTTTTTTTCTAAATATATTAGTTGTGCTATGTTTTCTTATCTAAAATTGTGTTCACTTTTTTTCTAGATTAAATTGGGGTTGATAAGAACATACAAAACAGATCTGTTGTAACAAGAGTTCAAAAGTGTAAAATGTGAAGAAAGTAAATTTTCTCTAGGTCTAATATGAAAAGTGCAAGAAGCAATGAGCTTAAATTACAACAGTAAACATTTACATTAAAAAAAATCTTTTAAAGGGTTTAATGCCTGGGGAAACATTGCAATCTCCACTAGTGGTGACATTCAAAAATGGGTTAGACAAACATGTGTTAGGAATGGTTTAAATATGGTTAATTCTGCTTTGAAGCTGAGGGATAAGCTGAATAACCTCTCAAGAACAGCTTCATTGGTTTGTTGTTGGGGGGAGGGAGGGTTTGTTTTTTCTTTGGTTGGTTGGTTGGTTAGTTGGTTTTTTGGAAAGTAATAAATTAAAATGGATCTCATGGGACAGCAGGCACTTAAGTAGAAAGACAGAGCTCAAGTCTTACGGTTAAAAGAATATTGCCCCCTGACTTTCGAGCACAAACAGTCAGGCTGTGAATTTGAAATTGTTATAGAAAAACAGGCTTGCATTAAAAGACTCACTACCAAAAGTGTGATAACATTCTGTGTTACATCAGAGTAAATTCTGCTATTGCTAAAGCTTATGGCCGGAAAAGTTAACAGCTATAAGGACTGTGTGATGTTTGTAGCTTTTAAAAGCTGGGACAGATTGATATTATACATAATCTAATACAGAAGTGTGCAGAGGCATGAACAAATGTTATTGTTGCATGTTCCTTGGACAAGTATAAACACCTTATGTGAGACTTGGTCTTAACAGTCTATGACAGGATCAAATTAAATGAAGTCAATTGAATTGTCTCCATGTCAAAGGTTTTGAAAGGGGCCTCGGCCTCCTGCTAGTTTTTAGGTGCTTAAGTGTCAGAAGACTGCTTAGCTGACAATACTGGTTAAGAAGGCAAAGGCTCAGTTATATTTCTGAAGTTGATTGAAAATTTTATTGGCAATTCCTACTACCACCGTCTGTTTTAAGGATGTAAAATTACCTTATTTTTTCTTTTTTTGAAAGCCAATGGATAATTGGTTTTCTCCCCGGTTGTTTTTACTCAAGGCAGAGAGAAGGCCTAGAATACTTAAGTTTAAAGTTTTGGAAGAGGTTTCAGAAAGAAGGTGTGGATGTAACCTTAGCTGTATATAGATTATTGTTAGTGTTCTAAATTAACCTGTTTGTTGTGTATGTTCTGAAGGGAGGTTCACTTATATATTGTGGGGATCTGTCTGTGAAGTTCAGATAAATCTGTCTTCATCTTAAGACACTACTACTTCTGTCTCTCATCTGTGCCAGAAGACATCATGTATAAAAGCAGGTGTGTGTCAGCTCCGAGCCACCGAGGTTTTCCAACCTGATAAACAGTAAGCTGTAAACCATATTGATTGAGTAATGGGCAAATTTTTATTTTTGCTTTTACAAGGATGGCATGGCAGCTTCTTTCAGAGTTTATGAGACAGTGGATGAGATTCTCTCTGACTAAAGGGAATTTTGCTGTTGACTGTATTGGGGCCAGACTAGTCTAACATTCCTTAAAAGTTTTCGAAGAGCAGGCAAGTTAGCTAATTGGTGTGCATGCAGGAATGACAGAATGCTGTAGAAAATAGATGACTAAAATAACATTGAATATGGATTACTTTTTTCTCCAAATTAAGTAGCAAAAATGTTATGTATAGAATTAGTCCTGAACGTACACTTATCAGTCTGTGGTTTATGAGATCAGTCAGTTATGTCTTTAATATACATAGGATAGCAAACACTTGGTTACTCTCTTTGGCTGACACTGAACCTCCATCCATCTTGTGTTGTTGCATGACCATGTGGCTTCAATGGAACCCTCTGTGTATGGGAATTAAGTATATGAATAGGTGTTGTGTAAGCAGGGCTTACATGTATACAATGCAGCAACATGTTAGTTGATGTGAAATGAGCTTCTTTTGGCGATTGTCTTGTGTGAGGTCAGCACCAGATGAGACACTAAACCACAGTCGTCTCAGCTGCAAAAAGATCTAAATATAAGGAAGTATAATAATTTAATTAAAAGGCTTTGCACTTAAAAGACTAACTTAGAGTGAAAAGAAATATTTGAAATAAGAACTTTGGTATTCTGTGATTTTAACTGTGTGTTCTTAAAATAGCTTGGTTTTTTGTTTGGGTTTTGTTTCGGGGGTTTTTTTAAGAGAAAAAGGAACAAAAGTAACACATTTTGTCCTCTGGTATCTGCTTAATTTCTGATCCTAATTGTGTTAGCCATAGGTATGCTGCTGATTATTTGGCACAACTCAGTTTGGAAACTAAATGTTCAGGAAGAATACCTTTCAGCCCTTCTCCACTCCCCACCCCTTCTTTTACACAGTGTTCATTTATCAATAGTTAAAAAAATAATAGAAAATGAAGCAACTCACAGTTGAGTGAGTACTTCTGGTTTTATTTCTCTGCTTAATTCTTTTAGAAAGATTTAAACCTGGAGATTAGAGTATTAGAGGTCAGTTTGTGAAAGGAAATGCGTCATACTCACTTCGGTAGCAAACATGTGAATCAGTTTCTGTTTGTTTCTGTTTGTTCATATAAGCTACAAAATACTAAATACTTTGCAAAGTCTTGCCATTTAGGTACCCAAACAAGTTCTTTTGAAGATCAGGCCCCAGTTTTCTAATGTAGAGATAACTTTCGTTATTCCATTAAGTAAGAATACTTAAAATTAATAGAGTCTGTGTGAGATACAGAATAAAATATCTGGTTATATCAGAAAGTCTACCCTAAGGTTAGAGTATATTTTTAGGGACAGATTATCTTTTATTAAGTATTTTATAAATTTAGATACCTCTAGGCTTACAGAAAGGACAAAGCATTTATGCAGGAGAGTACATCTGCTTACAACAGATGACTTTTCTGAATGTAGACATTTGCAGATTGATACAGAACAGAATAATTCTACCTGGAAGGTAAAGACAGATCTAAGGAATTTTCATCTTTTTCAAACAGTTAGTCTTTAGATCACAGCAATATGCCCAATCAGCCAGAAACTTGCACATTTCATTAAAAATTCCATTACTGCAGTTGGTCTGTCATTTGTCTTCATATAGATCTAAAACAATTATAATAACATTCTTACTCATTTCAGAACAGATGGAGAATTTCCATGAATAGATTTGTTAAATATGTGTCATAAGAGTTGAGACACCTATTCTCAGGAATGATTTTTAAATGTAATACAAGAAACCTGAAATAGCCAAAATTAGTAATTTTTGAACTAAGAACTAAGAGAAATAGATATAATGCATTGGATATAGATCATCTTTATGAAATCATTAAATCATGAGAGCTATTTTCTACTTTTTCCACCAAAACATGAGAATTTTTCTTCTGTTTAGAAAAATGTCTTTTCTGATGCAAACCCTTCTGTTGAAAACAATAACCAAAACCACCCAAGTCCTACTGTGCCTACACTTGTAGTTTTCTGACTTCTTCCCAATGGCCTATTTATACATTTAAGTAACCTGCATATGCTAAGAACTTAGAGTATATTTGTCTTTTAAAATATTCTAAAGACCAAGCTTCCCTGCATCTAAGTTTTCATTCTTCAGTAATAAAGACACTTTTTTTTCAGGGTCCCAGGGTACTACAAACAGTGCTTACAGGAATAAAGCATTGTAGTGGCTCTGCAGATTGCTCAAACAGGAGGATGGGGTATACTAGAGCTCCACTCTGAGATCAAAACCTCACTTCTTTCTGCTATAGAATTTGGAAATGGTACTGACACAAGATTGTGTGTACTTCCACGTGGGAGTTTCTCTTCAACTGATAACTGAGGTTATCAGTTATCTGCAGGTGATTTCTGTCTGATTTGTACTCATCATCAGCATAATTAGGGTTTACAGAGAAGAGTTTTTGGGATGCTGTCTTTCAACACTGTCTTTCAAAATGTTAGTTAGTTCTAATTTTACATACTGTCAGACCTTGTTCACATGTTCCTGTTGTGTTTAAGGTTGCATGGGCAAAGTAAAGGAAAAGAGTTGGGGTAAAAGCAAGAAAGTAGTGT